GTTTGATGAGAGCTTCCTCCCAGGGTCTCCCATAAGCAACCTCCTCTATGTGGTTCCACACTATCTAAGCACCCATCCCCCAAGAACTAAGTTTTCAAAGCATTGCAAGGAAAAAAGTTTAATAATTACCAACAGCACTGCTGATAACAATGCTGCCTTATATTCATTGACACAACCATCTTGGAAAACCTTTAAAAAAAACCCTTCCTAGGTCCCTGTGGGGAAGCCAGTCTTTTAGGGCAGCTGTGACTACTGCCAGCTCACAATGATGTGTTCAGAAAAATAAAAGGTAACAAGAAATATCCAAAACAGGAGATAAGCTTAAAGTAATTTCCATCTGATTTTAAAATGTGCTTACTGCAGTTGTGAGCTGTTAGGTTTGCAAGGCGGGTCAGTGGGAAGGGGGCGCACATTTGCCTAACGGTTAAGCTTTTATGTAAATCCAGATTAGTTTGTCTATTGAACATATGTCACCTGAAAATGGTGGGGATGGGCAGCCTGGATTCACATGAGCTAATCTTCCACAAAGATTGAGGACTGGAAGCTAATAACCCTTTGCTTTACCCCTAAAATGTGTGTGGGGACACAGGCTTATTATTCTTATATATATATTTTATTCTTTATAGAGAGGAAGGGAGAGAGATAGAGAGCCAGAAACATCGATGAGAGAGAAACATCAATCATCTGTCTCCTGCACACACCTCACCGGGGATGTGCCCGTAACCAAGGTACATGCCCTTGACCGGAATCGAACCTGGGACCCTTCAGTCCAAGGTCGATGCTTATCCACTGAGCCAAATCGGCCTCGGCAACACAGGCTTATTAGTTTTCTTTACCTCCCTAAGATTTTCTGAGGAGGTGGGTACTACATCCATTTGAAACTGATCTTTTTTTTTTCTTTTCTGAAATTGATCTTTATATAGGAATAATGGTCAGGAACACTGTTTAAGACAAAGATAGGCTCACTTTTTTTTTTTTAAGTGCCAAGTAGTACTAAATATTTTTGTCTTGCAAGCCAAAGGGCCTATATCAAAGCTACTAAACTCTGTCATTGTTGTTCAAAAGCAGCCACAGACAACACCTAAATGAAGGAGCATGACTGTGTCCTGTAAAGTATTACTTACAGAAACAGGCAGAGACCTGGACTGAGCCTGTAGGCCCTAACTGCCAACCTCTGGCTTCAGAAGGCCTGGCACAGAGGCAGCATTTGGCTTCCCCAGCACTCACCCGCCTCCAGTGGGGCTAGTCCCCTGGAGAAGAGTGTGCAAGGCTGGAGTCAACATTAGCTTCCTTCTAAGGATGTGGAGACAGAGACACTTAACAGGATAAGAAGACTGGAACCCAAACAATTATACCTCTTACTACCATTTTGTCCATCATCATTGGTCCTGGAAGCGCATGAACGTTAACAGCTTCCAAGAGACATAAGACACAAACGATAATTTAATTGAAGGAGGAATTCCAGTAAGACATTTATCCTGGGTTTTTCTATTACCCACTAGTGGCTCTTAGCTTTCTTCGAGCTGACCTTTATTTTTCCCTCTCCTCTCTTCTGCCTTCCACATCCCTAGCCCAGGCTCATAAAATGAAGCCATTCCTTACTTTATGAAGACATCCCTTATGAATGAGTGGGCACAGAAGGTAAATCCTGCTCTTTACATCATAACTTTCTTTACAAGGTCTCATACATCTCGTCAAGAACACAACAGGGTGTGTGGTGGGGAGATAACCGCACGGTGCTGAGCACCACATCGCACTGAGATGGGAAACAGAAACAGTGACGACACCTAATTGTCCCTGAAACCCAGCCCAGCTCACCTGCCTTTTTAGACAGTTGGGTTTCAGAGCCCCGTTTTAAACAGCTCATTTTAAGAGATGAGGGAACGAAAGTGCAGAGGGAGGCCCTGAGAGGCTGAAACCTGCAGTACTGGTTTCAGACCAATATGGGTTTGCTCTTTGAAGCCTGAAAAGGCAATGGGGCTCTGGCCAGCACTGCTCTCACCCTGGCTCGGTGGAAAGAATAACAACAACAGAAGCAGCAGCAAACACTTTCATAGCACCGTCTACGGGACAAGCACTGTTTTAAGCACTTTGTCCCTATTACCTCATATGATTCCCATGATGTTGATAGTATTATTCACATTTTGCAGATGAGGAAAATTGAGGCACAACAGTTAAGTAACCCCCTCTAAACCACATAGGTGGTAAGGAGCGGAACCTGGATTCAAAACCCAGGCATTCTGGCATTCTCTTAAGGGTTAGTATGACTGCAAGATGTTTCCATCTAGCACATATGGCCTACAGAAAACCACTTCTTCCACTTCTCAAGGACAAAGGATGGAAACGATCTGAACACACACAGAGGTTCAAGTTTACGGGCAAAAGACCCGATGTGCTCCCTAACCCAAGGCCAGGTGCACTTCCTTCATGTCTGGCCACAAAGGAGTCCGAGGACTCAGGCCACTCTTCCCCTCTTCTATCTTTTCTCTCTCCTGCCTCACTGAAAACCTACAGATAATCCTACTACACACTAAGTAAGCACTTTATCAATGCCGTCGCTGGGATATCAATAGGTGAAGAAATAATCCATCGGCCCAATCCTTCTGCAAAAGACCACCCACCCTGTCCTAATCTGACAACGCCAAATTCTAGTTTCCTACGTTTCTACCCGTGACTTAGTGCCCCTGGCCCTACCAAAGGAAAAGGTCATGTAAAGAGCCCAGCCATCCAAACCTACACTCACCTCCTTTCCACAGCACTCGCCAGTGTTCGTCTTCTTAATATAAATGCTATGGCGGACACAGAATAACTGCTCTTAAAATATTACTGCTAATCGATATCTAGCTAGCACCCAGGCCGGCTTTCTATTGATTTCTACTAAAAGTGACTAAGGTTCTGGTGCTTGCTGTTATACCAAGTTCCCTGGATTCCAAGGAAGCCTAAACAAAACCAACAGGTTTGCAGTCCTGCGGTTTACTTTATGATAGGCATGCGTTTGTCTGAGCATCGCATTGCTCTTCGCCACCAGATTCTAGGCATACTTTTACTCGTTGGTCACCATCTTGCCACCAGATTCGACCAAATTTCTGCATTCCAAGATGCAACGCTAACATTCACAATGAGGTCCGGATAGACTTGGCTCTCTACTTCAGAGACCCTCTCAATCGCACGCGTATTTAGAAGGCAGTGTAGCAGCTATGCTTCCAGGAGGGGGACCTGCAGGAACTAAGCTCAAGAAACTCTGGGTAGAGAATGTCATCAACTGTTAGATGGCAGAGACCATGACTTTTGTACATTTGGTAGACTCTGAGGCTTTGGAAGTGTGCAATGATCTTTTCACATATGGTGTGAATCAAATGCAAGCCTCACTTTCAACTTATTGCCAGCTTCTTCATGCAAGTAGGTGTCCTTTCCTATTCCTAACTGCCTGCGTTTGCGGGGAGGGGGGAGCAACGACCATCACAGCTTTGAGTGTGAAAGTCAGGTAAGCTTACTCCCCGCTAGTTTCCCACACCAACACCAAGCTGCTATTAAGACACCGGCTCAGTGCTGCTCAGAAAGTGGGGTATTTGCCACAGTGCACTTGATTGTAGCCCTCATCCCACCGCCACGTTGGCTGACAATGCCCAGGACAAAACGGCCTAGGAGGGGAGAGGAGGAACCGGTGGGGGGGGGGGGGGGAGGAAGGGACTGCCCGTGTCTCTCTCCTCTCCCTCCCTCTCTCTCTCTCTCTCTCTCTCTCTCTCTCTCTCTCTCTCTCTCTCTCTCTCTCTCTCTCACACACACACACACACACACACACACACACACGATGGTTAGGATGAGGCAGCCATATGAAGCAGGTCTATGATCTGAGGACATACAACTTCGGGACGAGAGGAATTTAGGGACTAGGTGCGGAGCGTCTTTACTGCGGTCAAAGCCGTAAACTAACGCATCCAGCGACTCGGATGAAATCAGCTGCGGGAGGTGGCACAAGGGGAAGCGCAGAGGAGTGGGGAGGAAAGGAACGCCACGCTGGAGAGCGGGTGATGGGGCCGAACTCAAGTAACACATGGCTCCGGCGGACTCTCCTCCATGCCCTTCCCCCTCCGCGTGCGGACGCCCAGCGCCCACCCCGCGCAGGGCGCCCCCGTCAGGCGCCGCTCACTCCCTCCTCACGGCTCGCTGCTACCCGGCGCCTTCCACTCACCCCCACACGGCACTTCAGCCACTTTTCGGTTACGCCCCCAAAGCCAGCCTCCATCTGCCAGGTCCCTCCCCTCGGCTCCCGGCCCCAGCACCCCGCACACCGTCCCGGCGGTGCACCCCGAGTTCGCGACTCCTCGCTCTCGCCCCCGCCACCCCCTCAGACTCTGCGCGACCTCTTTCCTCTCCCCTCGCCCTGGCCACTCGTCCCTCACACTTCTTCCCACACTCCTCCCCCCGCCCGCGCCCCCTCCCCCAACGGCTCCTCCCCGGCACCCGCTCCGGGCCCAGCTCACCTGCGGGGCCGCCCCCGTCCCGGCGCTGGTGCGGCTGCTGCAGCTGGAAGGGGACCGTGGCCCGGAGCGGCTGCAGCCCAGCCCGGGGGGAGCCGGCGGGGGCAGGGGGAGAGCAGCCCCGCCGGAGTCCTCCTGACCCTCCGCGCCCCGGCCCCCAGGCACCTCCGCCTCTGCCGCCCGCAGCGGCCCCAGCCATCGCCCGCCCGCCTGCCGCCCGCCTGGCCCCACAGCGAGCCCCACACAGCCCCCAACCCCCGTCGCGGCTGCTTATCTGCCCTCCGAGGCAGAGACCGGCCCCTTCAACCCGGAGCGCTCATTGGCCTACGGATTCCCAGGCCTCTCCTCTCAGCCAATCCCGGGCTTGATCATCCCTTCCCAGGGGGTAATTGGTTAATACGCCTAGCGATCCAACCCCAAGCCCCGCCCCCGCCCCGCCTCCGCCTGCTTTTGCATGTCCGAGGGACCACGGATTGGTCCGCCCAGAAGAGGGCTGGTCTCCGGCGCCCCCAATGAGAAGACGCAGGAAAGGGGAGCATCACGCCCAGTCCCAGGTAGTATGCAAATATGGTGTCACGTGATATCAGACTGAGCGGGGCGGGACCGGGCGTAAGATGGAATCAGACATTGAAATCATCATGGGGGGTAGGGAAAAGTGTCAAACTTTCAGCAGTTGAGTGAGTCCTGGCAAGCATCAAGAAAGCGATACCCTAAAAGAGCACTACTTTTCGTTTAATCTAAAAACATCAGTTTTGAGCTTTCAGGATTTCAGTGCTGCTTTCAACTCCAAAGTATACAAATTAATGCAAAGTCTGCATACATTTGCATGCGATTTGCGTTATATTCGTGCACTTAATGGCTACCGTGCCTCATGTAACACCCACCTTTGTCTTCCTCCATGTTTCCAACTTCGTACTTGGTGTTGGTCCTACCTAAACATACACACACACACACACACACACACACACACACTGCTAGCCTGCAAATTAAATTGAGACTATAAAGAAGCAAAAATTTCTCTTTACAGTCATCCATTTCAAGTCTAGCTCAGTAGAGTGGAAGGAACAAAGTGACTGAAAAACTTGCCCAAATTTGCACAGTGACTCCATTCTAAATCCTGGTCTCCAATGCTCTCTGACCTACAAATCAAAATGAGAATAGTTAGTCCTCAAAGAGAATAAGTAGTTGTGAAAATCACATGTTGGAATATATATGAAGACATTTGATAAAGAAAACAGCATTTGAGTCACTATTAAAATTACTCTTCAAAAGAAAAAAATTATTACCCTTGACACTTATTAACCATGTTCTATATATAGAAAAAGTAAAAGACAATCAACCCTGGACTGTCTGCAGTAAGGGACCATCCAAGTAATTGGACAATTCCCTCCTGATTTATATTTAGCTTTGAACTCTAATTTTGATCTTGCTACAAATTTATCTTTCTATTTTTGTTTTTGCCCAGTTTAATGTTAAAATAAAGATATTCCCTGAAGCTATACTAACTAATCAAGGAAGAGGAGGTAATCTGGGAGCATGTTGCAAGGCAAGAAGAGGTCATTCTGGGATTAAATATTAAAACAGATAATACCCAAAGTGGAAATTCAAGAGTTGGTTGGATATTAAAACCAGCCTACACAGAACAAACTGAGGCAGTGGAACATCCTGAAGGAAGGTTTTCTTTGCAGAGTGTACTCTTGCAGGTTTGAAGGATTTACTACAAGATCTGACATGTGAAATCTTTCTTTATTGACTGGGAAATGCTGTACTCTTTTTCCATGAAGAGGACAACTTTACCAGAGGCAGATAGGAAAGATCACAAACTGATGAACTGTTAAAAACTCATTCTTTATAAATTTAACTCAGTTTTTTAGAAAATCTTCCAATTTAGCACAGCCAGTATGGGTCAATGGTTGAGTGTCAGCCCATGAACTAGGAGGTAAGGGTTCAATTCCAGATCAGGACACATGTCCAGGGTTTTGGGCTCAGTCCCCGGTGGGGAGTGTGCAGGAGGCAGCCAATCGATGTTTCTCTCTCACAGATGTTTCTATCTCTCTATCCCTCTCCCTTCCTCTCTCTAAAATCAGTAAAAAATATTTTTAAATCTTCCAATTTATAACATTCCTCAATTCTAATTAGCTCATCATTTATATACTAGTATAGCCTCATGACAATCTGGAAAAAGAAAAGCATGGATTCTTATTATGGTGCAAGTGGGAAAGCTGGGGCCCAAAAAGGTTAAGTATTTTTTATTCTTAGTTCATGTCCCTATGAGATCTTATTTGACCACACTGCCTCACATCTTCATTAATCATAGTAATGGTAGCATCTAACATTCATTGAGTCCCTTTTTCCATGCCAGGTACATGTTAAGCACTGTGCATACATTATATCATTTAATGCTCATGACCACAACTATGAGTATTATTTATTCTTCATTGAGGCTTCAGAAAGAAATAATATGCCCAAGCCTGGCTGGGTAAGAGCATCATCGTGATATACCAAGGATGGGGGTTCAATTGATCCCCAGTCAGGGCACATACAAGAATCAACCAATAAATGCATAAGTAAGTGGAACAACAAATCTCTCTTTCTCTCTTCTTCCACTCCCTTCCTTCCCTTCCCCTCTCTTCTAAAATCAATTATTTTTATAAAGAAAAGAAATAACATGCCCAAGGTTACTTCAACATCCTGACTTTAGAGCTGAGCTCCTAATCTCTATTCTTGTTAAACTTTCTTATGAATACAGAAGGCTTACTATTTATATTTTACATAAAGAATGTCCAAAGCTGTACATGTGGCTGATATGTTAAAATTACAGTTGTCTAGTATTTTTTACAGATCTTACATATATAATCTCATTAAGTTTTCACAATAGGCATACAAGATAGAAAATGCAGATATTGTCTCTATTTTACAGAATGCTAATTCACAGAGGCTAGATAACTTGCCTAAGATCACCCACTTAGTAAATGACAAATTCAGGACTTATATCCTAGGTCTTTCAACTCAGATTCAAGTACTTTCCCAACCAATACTCAACTTCTAAACCATTGGCCTGCCTGAGAGGATGGGCTAGCTGGTCTCTTGAAATGTTCTTGCCTCACAACTTATTCCATTTTAGGAGCTCTCAATATGTAAATTCTCAGGTAGTCTTAGGAGATACTGAGTGATTTTTAAAATTTTATTCTACCCCTCACTGGTTTGGCTCAGTGGATAGAACGCTGGCCTGCAGACTGAAGGTTTCCAGGTTCAATTCCGGTCAAGGGCATGTACTTTGGTTATGGGCACATCCCCAGTGGGGGCTGTGCAGGAGGCAGCTGATTGATGTTTCTCTCTCCTCAATGTTTCTAACTCTCTATCCCTTTCCCATCCTCTCTGTAAAAAATAAATTTTAAAAATCAGTAAAATATATTTTTAGAAATAAAAATTTATTCAAGAGAGGAAAGGGGAGAGAGAGAGGGAGAAACATTAATGTGAGAAACACTGATCGATCGGTTGCCTCCCATACACACCTCGACTGGAGATTGAACCCACAACATGGGTACCTGCAATGACTGGGAATCGAACCCACCACCTTTTGGTGAATGGGACAACACTCACCAACTGAACCACACTGGCCAGGGCTGATTTTTTAATTATTATTGTTTGAGCCATACAATGCATGATAGAAGTAAAGGCCCTGGAATTAAGAATCATGAAATACTTTGGGCAAGTGGTACCCTTTCTTTATACAAGAATCACTGTTGTAAAGATAAAATGGCATAGTATTGGATAGCTGCACTCTTCCCTTGGAGAGAAGAGTAATGTGAGTAGTCTCAAGGACATGGGATTTAAAGTTTGTTTCAAAGCCAAGTTATGAGGAATTGAGGACCTGGACAGTGGAAGAAGAGGCTGTGGAGGCGGCACAGCTGAAGAATTGGATCTTCTGAGTCCAGAGAGTCCTGGTTCTTCCTGATAAGTTACTGGCAAAAGACACTCAAGTTGACCTAGCTGAAGGAGTGAGAAGGCAGGGAGGCTAGGAGATCCCTGTCCTCTCACTAACCAGGTATCATGTCCAACCAGCTGTCTCTTATTGCTTTCTCTATCACTGATAGCTTCTCCTGGCATGGGCATGATGGGAGGATAAAGACTTCATTCTGAAGATCAACGCCTGTTTCCTCCCATAAAAGAAGCTATAGCTTTGGGACGGATGTGCACTGCTAAGGGGAGATGCCTTGCCTTAAAAAGCATCGTTTAGCTTAAAAGAAACCTTTGTCACCATCCCGTCATACTTATCAACACAACTGTCATTAATTTACTCATCACAAATTTAGTGAAATGACCAATATGTGACACAGAACTAAGCGCTAATCATGTTCAGAGACATGCTCTCTACTCTGGAGTTCACAGCCCAGCAAGTCTTGAAGCCTGTTTGCAGAAGTGGTACTGAGCTATAGGCTATGCTAATTGAGACATGACCTGGTTCCTGTTTTCAGGGACTTTGGGTCACAGGCAGGCACCCATAAACATCAGAAGTGGAGAACTGGCTGAAACCAGTTTGGCTCAAGCCGAAACCGGTTTGGCTCAATGGAGCATTGGCTTGGGGACTGAAGGGTCCCGGGTTTGATTCCGGTCAAGGGTATGTACCTTGGTTGCGGGCATATCCCCAGTAGGGGGTGTGCAAGAGGCAGCTGATCGATGACTCTCTCTCATCGATGTTTCTAACTCTGTATCTCTCTCCCTTCCTCTCTGTACAAAATCAATAATATATATATATATATATATATATATATATATATATATATATATATATAGTGGAGAACTGCATATACCAATACATTGTTTTTCATCTATAAGAGAATAACTTGCCTCAGATGGTTCCAACAGCAAATACTTACTTAGTTCCTTGATCCCAGCCTGCTCTTGGGATGTCCACAGATGTCACAATAAATGGGGATTCAAGGAATTGGAGTTATTTTCTCTACAGGTCTGTATCAGAGGTATAGCCACTCCCCAAGCAGTACTTTTAAGCCCCAAGGGTCTTATAAGTCGTAGGAGTATGAGGGACTACCAAGGATGAAAGGCTGTCGGGAGTGCTGGCAGATCAGAGGGTCAGCAGGGAAGCCTGATCCTGCTGGCTACTGAATTTAAAGAATACTAGGGTTGTCATAGCCAAGAAAAGTTTTCCAGGTGTGAAGGAACCAGTCCTACTTTCAGGGCACCTTGATCCTCACTCTGTGCATTTATGGTACAACAAAAATGGGAATTCCAAATCATCATTTTATGCCCCCAAATCTGATACTCATTAGCAATTGTTCAGCAGAGAATAAAGAAGTTCTGATATTCCTTGATGCCTGGGGGATTGGACTTCTTGGTAAATGTCTAAGTGCTTACGTCTTTGGCCCCCAGGGTTCCAGAATAAAAAAAACAGAAAATAAGATGACGCAGACATACAGTGTCTCTTTCCGACCTACCTCCTTTCTTCAGCTTCTGTCTGAAATGTCAGGCCTCGATCCTCAGGGAATGAGATCCTGAGGAAATGGGGTCAGAACTGAAGGAGCAGAGCAGCCTGAGAGGGATTGGGAAGGAGGGTTGAGGGAATGAATGAGGTTATGGGAACACAGTAGGGAGGCGGGGCCTAGGCCTAAACAAGTCTCCCACTCTGGTGACCTCCCTCTCTATCCCTTCCCTCTGACTCCCAAGGTAACCAGATGGCCTGGATTTTGACCTTCGGGACCTTGTCTGACACATTTTCCCCTTGCTGTGGCCTACCACCACTTTCTGTCCTCTGGCTGAGTTATCTCACTTGTTCATTTTCCTTCATTCTGACTGGATGGCATTGACTCCTTAACTCTTCTTTTCCTCTCTCTTGGTGGCAATTGAATTTTCTTGCTAAACTGTAGCCTTTTTAAAATTAAGATCCCTCATCCTTGGCAATAAAGGAACTGGCAAAAGTTTTAAAACAGGTAAAGAGTAACTGTGGAATCTTAGATATCAATATTTTGGAATACTGGACCTAGTGGCACATTCCGTGAAAAATATGAAAGTTATATTTTTTATAAGCATTGGAATAGACACCAGAGACTATATATGATCTAGTCCCCTCATTTTCAGATAAATTGATGCCCAGTCAAGGCAAGGACTTGCCAGAGGTCACTCAGCCAATCAGAGACAGGGCAGGGGACCAGGGTTCCTTCACCCCATTCAGTGTTGCCTCAAAACATAAATAACTTTTAAAAGAATTCAATAATAGCCGGGACTGGTTTGGCTCAGTGGATAGAGCGTCGGCCTGCGGACTGAAAGGTCCCGGGTTCGATTCCGTGCAAGGGCATGTACCTTGGTTGCGGGCATATCCCCAGTAGGGGATGTGCAAGAGGCAGCTGATCGATGATTCTCTCTCATCAATGTTTCTAACTCTCTATCCCTCTCTCTTCCTCTCTGTAAAAAATCAATAAAATATATTTTAAAAAATTCAATAATAAAATGAGACAAACTACTGATATATGCTACAATGTGGATGGACCTTAAAAATATGCTAAGTGAAAGAGGCCAGATGCAAAAGACCACATATTGTGTGATTATTTATATGAAATGTCCAGAAAAGTCAAATTTATAGAGACAGAAAGTAGACCAATTGTTATCCAGGTGGGGGGGGGGGGGGGGGAGGGGGCAGGGATTACTTTCTGCAAAGAAGCACAATGAAACTTTTGGGGGTGATAGAAATGATCTAAAACTGGAATGTGGTGATGATTGCACAACTCTACAAATGTACTAAAAAACATGTTTAATAATTAATTTTATGGTATGTAACTTACACCTCATTAAAGTGTTTCCAAAAAAGAAAAGGATTTAGATATGCTTATGAACAAGAGATCCATGGTGGATGGCAGACCTGCTAATCTTTTAAAGGAATGTCTCAGGAAACAAATGTCCCTACACCCATGGCATCCCTAAAAGGTCACTGTACAAGATGGAAGATTTGGCTTTGAGGCCTATGGAATACCAGGCTGGCATTTTTCAGTTTTTAAAACTATGCTCCTCTCTAAAATATTTGTTTCCTGAGGAGAACAGGTGTCTTGGTCATCACTCTAATTACTACACCTAGCTCACTGTGACCAGCATGCAGATGTTGCTTTACAAAAAACTCATTAAACTCAAATTCTGCTGCATCATGTGATTATGGGTACCTTCAGGGGCCATCTGGTTTCTGGAGCAGTGCCTTGGTGGGAACAGTTTGCATTCCCCACTCCCGACTTTCGCAGGCCCACTGTGAGATCAAAGTCTTTACAGAGGAGAGTTGGTTTATATACATTCCCAGGAGACTGCGTATAAACCAAAAGGCCCATTTGTCTCAGCTCCTTTTAGACTCCCTCTTCTCCACCACTATTCCCATTTACCTTCTTCACGTTGGCCTCCACAATATAATTACCCCTAAGGCAAGTTTAAGCTACAATATTCTAAACATTATCCATCTGATTCCAGTCCCTCTCCCTTCCTCTCACACTCTACACCAAATCAGACATCAAGTATCATTCCAATTTCAAAAATATTACAAATAGCTGAAACCAGTTTGGCTCAGTGGATAGAGCATCGGCATGCGGACTAAAAGGTCCCAGGTTCGATTCCTATCAAGGGCATGTACCATGGTTGCGGCACATCCCCAGTGGGAGGTGTGCAGGAGGCAGCTGATTCATGTTTCTCTCTCTCTCTCTCATCGATGTTTCTAGCTCTCTATTCCTCTCCCTTCCTTTCTGAAAAAAATTAATAAAACATATTTTTTTAAAAAAAATATTACAAATATAACAGAAAGGACAAGAGGCTTGAAAATTGGTCTGTAGTCTGATTTCCTTTAGATCTAGGATACAGACTCCAGAGCTCTTTTCAGAGCCAAAAATATTATCTCTAAAGGGCTTTTGTAATAATAGATAACTGCAAAATATCACCACAGGTTCTTCCTCCGTTTTATTTCTGTGCCTTGGTTTATGAACTTTCCCTCTCCCTGTAATTCCATCTTCCACCATCTGCTTCAATTTCCAATTAGATCTCACTTCCTCCAAACGTTCCTCAATTGACCTTATGAGGTACTGATGATTCTCTGGGGACTCAGGTGTTCAGTTTGTAGCACAATATATGAGTACTAGCTTATGGGTAACTTTATCATTTCTGCTAAGTCACTTTATATCTGTTGGTCTTTTCTTCCCAATTCTGAACAAAGAGATCCATTTATTCTGGTATTTCTTGTCAGCAACTAGTGCAAACCACTGCATCCGGTACTATTGAATCAATGTTGGTTAAATATTTGACTGTCTCTACAACTAATATTTCTGACCACTCCTAAAAGTTGAGGCTAAAAGTCCTGGAGACTGAAAGCAGGGAAGGCTCCAGGTTTTGTGAGTAAAAAAATTATAGTTAGCCAAAACCTGTTTGGCTCAGTGGATAGAGCATCGGCCTGAGGACTGAAAGGTCCCAGGTTCAATTCCAGTCAAAGGAATGTACCTTGGTTGTGGGCACATCCCCAGTAGGGGGTGTGCAGGAGGCAGTTGATTGATGTTTCTCTCTCATCGATGTTTCTAACTATCTATCCCTCTCTCTTCCTCTCTGTAAAAAAAAATCAATAAAATATATTTTTAAAAATTATAGTTAGGTACAAGGGCTTGGAAGGGTTCTGTGCAAGTAAGAGGGTCTGACACTTAAATTTCATTAGCTTCATTGTAAATCTGTTTCTAACTGAAAGAATGAAGCCTGGTTACATTCCTTTCAACTCTTCAACCCTGATTGAATTGTCTATTCCTGGTTTCTGTCGCAGGGGTCCTCAAATTTTTTAAAGTGGGGGCCAGATCACGGTCCCTCAGAGAGCTGGAGGGCCAGACTATATGAACTACTAATTCCTACTGTAACACCTCGGCTGCGCTCACTGCCCAAAAAACCTGGCGGGCCGGATCAGACTCCTCTGCGGGCCACATGTGGCCCGCGGGCTGTAGTTTGAAGACGCCTGAATCTTATACTCAACACATCTATTCAATGGCTCTGGCTTAACAAAATGGCCTTGGTAGCCAAGTCTCTCTAATGAAAAAGTCTCAAAGGGCTGGATTGACATTCCTCCCACTTAATAACTTGGTGGCACATAAAATATTGCTTTGAAAGGAGGGTTCTCCTGCTATGCATGGTGGAGGGCAAAGACCTTGTACCCAATTCTGGAAGCCTCTGATGGCTCAAAGCCTCAAGGAATTATGTTGTTGTGTAGCAGAAGGGCCTGGAATGTTCCAGTACATTCCACTAGTGGCCTCTGTGACCCCTACTTCTATTCAACTTGGGCAAAGGCCTGGTAGTCTACAAAGTGGCCTGTATTCTGCTGGGGTAGGAGGCAGCTTGGACATGCTTCTTCCATGCCACTCTGATAAAATCACACAAGTTGGCATCTTTTCTGGAAGTCCCACCCAACAGCTGCATCCAATTCTCTGACCGCCTGGATATTTTCCCAGAATATCAAACCAGGGTTTAGATACCAATCCTATCAATTTCTTGGCTCTATATACCCAGTTATTTTTAAAATATATATATTTTATTGATTTTTTTTTTTTTACAGAGAGGAAGGGAGAGGGATAGAGACCTAGAAACGTCAATGAGAGAGAGAAACATCGATCAGCTACCTCCTGTACACCCTCAACTGGGGATGTGCCCACAACCAAGGTACATGCCTTTGACCGAAATCGAACCTGGGACCCTTCAGTTTGCAGGCCGACGCTCTATCCACTGAGCCAAACCGTTTGGGCTCTATATACCTAGTTCTGAATTCTTCCCCAAATAGACCAGAAATCCGGGATTCCTAAACCAGTGCTGTGTCTGCATTCTTCAAAATGCCCAAGGAGCCTGTACCACCTATAGAGACAGAAACCTCAGGGCCCTAGGAAGGAAGGAATATAATCAGGATGCTACAGACCATCTGCCTCTGCTACACAGCATAGAAGAAAACTTCTACTTACCGGGCAGTTACTGTAGGCTACACAATTTGCACACATCATCTCATTTGATCCTCATAGTTATTATACCATACTTAGTGGGTATAATTATTCCCATTTCACAGGCAAGAAAACTGAGGCTCAGAACGGTTAGGAAACCTGTTAAAGGTTATATAGCTAGGGGTGACCTGCCTTCACCTTTACTGTGTATGACCACAACTGGAGGCGGAGTGGGGGTCAGTGGACTAGGTGAGGGGATGCAGATCTAGAGGTTCACTCCTTACCCAGATATTAAAGGTCAGAGAGAGGAATACAGGCCAGCCTAGTCATGCTATAACTTACTCCCCCATCTCCCTGTCACTCCCTCAGCTCTAAACTCTCTAGAACTCTAACTTTGTTTATATGGCAGGGGAGCAGTGCTCAGAAATCTTGGAGGTGAGTCTGGCAGGTTCCAGCTGTTCCTGTTGTGTGAGTCAAACTTTTTTTTTTTTTAAACTTCTCCTTGGCAAAAGCATGTCTGTCCTTCAGTGGACTAGCTAGCCTAGGACCAAATCCATTCCCTTTCTCCAAGCTTCCTATCTCAGGGACGAAAAAGAGAGAGAGAGAGATG